TTGATATTTAGTTTAGTAATGGCTATGTTTTACTGCTTGTTTCTTTTATGAATCTTTGCTCCCTACCCCATTACCCCTATGTGTTTGTGAGTGGTGACTCAGGGCATGGCAATATGAGTTGTTGTCCATGAACTGAGTTCTGAACCTTAACCTCCAAACAGGCTGGAGGGTGTGCCAGCACCTCCCATTACTGAGTATGCCTATCAGCCTGCTCTCCTTATGCTCTTGCAAATTCCCACTCCCCTGCACCCTTATGTGTGCTGATTTTAAGTTATTCCCATTTTCCCTTTCCCCTCTTAGAATTCCCTTCTGCACTTACACTCTCTCCTAGTTTCTTAGTTCTGCCCCTCTCTGGTGAGCCTTGCCTTGGGACCTTGAGTTCCATCTGAACTTGAACACCTGAGGGCTGGCCCTTCCACACTGCACTATTGTCCTGATTTGGTATGTATCTGGGGTGTAAGCACTGCCCGGAGTCCATGAGGCTCTTAGGGAACTCTCACACACCCGAAATGAGAGAAAGGCTTTCAAATCTGATCTTTGGAGTTGGTTTACTTCCTATTTCAGAAAGGAAGTCTGAATCAGGCTCTCCTTGGTTGTAATTTTAAATTTCTGATGTATTTCTTTCTTTATTTTCATTGGACTGTAATAACTTTGTAATAAACTTTCGGGGATGTTTAGTGAAAAGGGAGGGGTAACTATGCATGAAAAGGGTAGATAACTTGCCTATAGGAATCTCTAATTTCAGTAGTTCTCATATAGTTACCATGCCTATAAAACTTATGCACTTTCATATAGTTACCATGCCTATAAGACTTCTCTGCTTTCATATAGTTACCATGCCTATAAAACTTATGCACTTTCATATAGTTACCATGCCTATAAGACTTATGCATTTTTATGTAGTTACCATAAGATTTTTGCGACTCATTTAGCTATCATGTCTATAAGAAACTCTGCATTCTCATTTAGATACCATGACTGTAGGGATTCTGCACTTTCATGTAGATATTATGTCTATAGCTTCTGCACACGCACGTAGAGAATATGGCTATAGGTCTTTTCTGATTCTTGCATACCCGTTTTTCACTAGGCAAACTAATCTATAGGCCCTAATAATCGAAAATTGTAATCAGATATCGCGTCACGCTTAGGTATCATGTTATAGAATTTCTGTACTCTTCTATGTCTATAACAACGTTTTAAGTTGACAAACACATAGAAAGCATGCCTATAGGGGTTCTAATTCAAATCTAAATTGCCTCGCTCGTTTGTAAGTTTAAACTGTCAGTAGTAATGTATTATCAATTGCAGAACTCATACTACTTTTGTCAAAACTGGCAACCATTTCCTAAATCAATCCGCAATCAGCTTACCTCTTTGTTTCTGAAATCAGTAGATATCATGCCTATAGGTTCTGTCTATCACCTAGGCAAGCCTTAGGGTAAAAGTTATAAACTGCATCAGTCTCTATCAATTAAGACCAGCAGGCAAGCCTAATTAGGACTTCTTATCTGGAAATATGTGATAAATCAGCCTGCCCCCAGCTTTTAAGTTTAATCAGACCTTAATCAGTACGTGCAAGACATGCTAAACTATGTGCTTTTCTTTGATCTAAGGAGGCCTGTTTGAGCCTTATTTGTTCATGTGCTTCCCCATGCTTGTCATATGTGTTCTTGCTTGTCGCCTTAGTATTTTTACTTTTGAAACAATAAAAGCCCAACACCCCTTCCCTTTAGGGTTAGTAGTCCTAAATGCCTCCGGGACTGATACGATTGGGGCGGGTAATAGCATGCAATAAGAAAACGAGACTTTTCCGCGCTTTAATACCTTAACGGGGTGGGAAAGGATAGATATGGATATGATGACCACGCGATAACACCACGTGTATAAGTGATTACTGAGTGTTGTCTGGGGTGATCCATATTATTTATAAACCTAGGACCCCCCCTCTCTTTTACTTGTTTATTTCATTGTTTATCTCCATATTTCAAATTGTTTGTCTCAAAATTCAGCTTTCCTTCCGTTTCTTTTTATCTTCATCAATTTGCAACCGTTATGTGAAATCCCCTCTTATTTGAAAGTCTTACTTGCTTACGTGTTATTTGCACTTAAAGTCACAATAATAGTTTGGCCGGGAACCACACTAGTGGATCCTGAGGGGTGCCTAACACCTTCCCCTTGGGATAATTTCAAGCCCTTACCCAATCTCTGGTTACTTGACTCAAACCCTTCTTCGTGTCCTAATGCACTTAAATCATTAGGTGGCGACTCTTCAATTCAATCCAAACCCAATTCCCAAAAGGGAACGAGTTGTCTTCCCAAATGTAATAAACCCGATTTCCGCGGAGGAAAAAGGGGGCGCGACATAATCAACCTAGGACTCCTCTTTCCCAATTCCCAATGTTTTAGCTTTACTTTTTCTCTATATATGTAACTTGTTCAAATCTCTTCTTTTTTTGACTCCTTATTTGAGTCATACAAATGCCTAAAACATGCCTTTATTTGCAAGTATGTGTCTAAACTATTTATTTGTTTAATGGACTAATTCATAAGTATAAGTTCGACAAGGACCCACCGTTATGGACTGAGAGGGGTGCCTAACACCTTTCCCTCAAGGTTATTTTGAGCCCTTGCCCTAAACCTCTGGTAGTGCAAACTAGTCTAAGAGTTAATCGCTCTAGGTGACCTAACACACCATAATCCGTTAGGTGGCGACTCTCCAAAACCCAAATTCCCAAAAGAAAATGAGTTATTACCCCCATGAAATGTCGGAACCCGGACTTCTCCCCGGGAGGAGGGAAAAAGGGTGGCGCGATAGCATGGCGACTCTGATGGGGATATTCTAGGCTCTTACCATAACGAACTTATTTTTTTATGAATTAGTCCAAGCATGCTCTATCCCACGTACCCCTTCCCCTTATTTGAATTTAACTGTTTATTTTTAAGCATTTCTGATTTCTTTATTTTCCTGAAACTGACTCGTCTCTTTGTTTTCTTTCTGTAACTGTCTTTCAATTATTTAAATACTGTATTTATTATTTTCTTACGTGCAAATACTTGAAAACATGCTATTTATTGTTGCATATACTCCACATCATATTCCACTCGTGCGTATCAAAATTTTATAGCAATGCTTGATGAGTGGTTGCGCTCTTCCTATTTATTACTCTTAAATTTGGAAAGGCTTATTTGCAGTAAAACTAGTCGATCAGTGGTGCAGTCGACGGCTCCGTGCCTTTCCCCCTCAAGTTAGCCACTTGAGGGTACCAGTCTAGACCCCCATAGTAACCTTACTCTGATCGTAATTGCGCATGCATCATGGTCAAACCTAGCCGGATTAATATGTTGTCCACATAATAATCCTTTAAGACAAGCCTTATCCAAAAGTCCACCGGGATTTCCATAATCCCAACGAACACAACCATGTTATGTGCATTAATTTGGAGAACTAAATGCAAATATGCTAATCATGAATGTATAAATAGTCGAGTCTGGTGGGGGATAAGGGACTAACCCTTTTGTTTTGCAGAAATGAGGCACGAGGTCCCCAGATTCGGTATGGTTAGCAACATCCCACCATTGCTACTAGATTGGTGGGAGGACCTTTCCTCAAGTGACAAGAAACATGTAAGAAAGTACTTGGGCAATCTACCGTCTCTGCTAGACATTGAGCCAAACAAGAGGTTGGTCGAGGCTGCCACTTTATTTTGGGATAGAGAAAGGGCTGTGTTTCATTTTGGTGACATAGAAATGACACCACTTCTTGAGGAAATTGGAGGGCTTGCGGGATTGACTTGGGATAGCCTCAATTTATTGTGCCGGAAAACCATACTGGTAAAGGGTTCTTAAAGATGATGGGGTTGAAGAAAAATGCTGACTTGAGATTCCTGAAGGAATCTTACATACTCTTTGAGTATCTGTATGTGAGGTATGACCATAGCAAGTCCTTCCGTACTTACCATGACGAGATCTCTCTCAGTTCTATGGGCCATATCCACCGCAGAGTGTTCGTGTTCATTGTATGCTTCCTGGGCCTGATAGTGTTCCCAAATGAAAAAGGAAAGAATCCACAGTAGGTTGGTCATGGTCTCCAAGACTTTGATGGAGGGGGTCAATGGACAGGCATACACCATAGTCCCCATGATCATAGCCGACATCTACAAGGCTCTGGAGCGCTGTCAAAAAGGGGTCCAACATTTCGAGGGTTGTAACTTGTTGCTACAATTGTGGTTGCTAGAACATCTTCAAAAGGGAAAGTATCACCAAGAATTTCCGCGAAGGGCTTGGAATGACCATATTGCCTTCCATCACCCTAAGTGGATGACCTACATTCCGGACAGGTTTGCTTAGCCGGAGAGTGCCAAAGAGTGGGTGGAATTTTTCGACAATCTGACTGAGGAGCAAGTGCAATGGATGTTTGAATGGTTCCCGACGATCACTGCGCAAGCAGCTGCCATGGCCAATTTGGCCGGCGGCCAGCCATCTTTTCCGGCCGGTCAACCTTCCCCCACCACTACCCATCCGTCTACGACCACAAACAACACTACCCAACCCTTAGATTACTCTAAAATTCTGAAACCAGTGGCATTGAACACTGCCATGCAGACGTCGAGTTCCAATTCAAAACCTATTGAGCCAATTCTATGAAACCTGTTACTTTCCTCAATGGACAACCAATGATCAAATGGATGGAAGCAGAAGTACAAAGAATGAATATCATGGAGGGGTTACAATATGTAGTTCTTGGGAATTTTCCTATGGATGGCTAGAATTTAGTGAGATACGTAGAATTCTCCCAGTTCAGTGTGGAATCAAAGGTGAATGCAATATTGGATTGTTTAGAGATCGTCATATATTGATCAGATTCACTTTATTGGAGGATTTTACAAATTTTACGTCTAGGTGCATACTATTTGAAGGCAAAGGATGGATATAAATATCAAGTACGGCCATTGATTTATGATACAAAGTTTAAAGTCGGAGAAGAAACATCCAAGGTGATGGCATGGATTTCTTTCCCAAATCTGTTGCCTACTTATCTTTTAAAGGAATGTTTATTCTCTTTGGCATCAGCTGTTGGAACACCTTTACACTTAGGCTTGGCTACTATCAACAAAGCCAGGCCAAGTTGTGAAAGAGTTATGGTCCAGGTGGATTTACTGGAGGAACTACCTAAGAGAGTTCAAATGGATATTGAAGATGAAGTTAATGGTACTGTACGAACTGAGTGGGTAAAGATCCAATATGATTATATCCCTAAATATTGCAAGGAGTGCAAATTACAAGGTCATGATGAAGAATCATGCTGGAGATTACACCCTGAATTGTTTGTGGAATATGATAGGGAGAAACAAGGCGGTAATGCAAGAGGTAATGTTCAGAACTCTCAAAATAACCCAATCATGATTCTATCTAGTGGCAAAGTTGTTGGGAATATTGGATAGCAATGGAAGGAAGTTAGGGATAATCGTGTTAAAAATGGTTCTAAGTAGACAAGTGTTACAGATCAAACTGGAAAAGAAATTGTTCATGTTGATCCAAACAATGTACAACAAGTGAGAAGTATTGCAGACAAAGAGATAGTTCCAGTTGAGGATGGTAATAAGCAACAGAAGAAGCAGAATTTTACCAATGCAGGAAAGCAGATTGTGCCAGCCAATACTCAGGTTCAACAGGTTCAGACTGCTAACAAGTTTGCAGCTTTGGAGAATGAAGAGAGTGAAGTAGATGGGGATAATCAACAGTCACTAGGGAACACCAATAATGTCTCAAGTCCATCAGCTAATACTTAGGCAACTGGGAGAGCACTCAATGCATTAGCACCTGCCTTTGATCCTAAATCATCTGGGAAGAAAGCAAGAATGGGGAAGAGTGGTACAAATGAGGCAGAACAAATAGGGGAGAAGAATGAAGAACAAAGAAAGGAATCCACAGCTAAATGGGTTAGTAGAGCATTTGCAGTTAACAAGGTCACTATGAACCAATCATGTCAAGAGATACCATCACAAGAAATATATCCAGAAGAAATAGCTGAGCAAGAGTTGATAAAACAAAAAAGTCAAATGGACAGGAGGGAAACTATGTGATGATCAGACAGAAGATGATCCTGATAAAGGGGATTTATCAAAAGCTTATGAAGAGGAAAAAGTACCAGATGAGGAGACACAAGGTAAAGAAGTCAGTGGTAATGGGAATGCAAACAAGGGAGATGTACATATTGGAGAAAACACTGCCAACAACAAAAATGTACCAACGGAGATTGCAGGATCAAACTCAAAAGTGCAGCAATCAGAAAATTGTCCCAGCCCTTTAATGACCATTGATCCTAACAATTCCATACCTACTCTTGATCCTATACCTGCAAAACCAATTGATCCTGGTGATCCTTGTGGACAGGAGGAGCAGGAAATTGTAGAAAAGGATGGTTCTGTAGAGAAGGAGAAAGAAACTACTCCTGTCAATAATCAGAATGCAGAACAGTTGGCTAAAGTAAATGCAGGCAATAGCATGATCTCTAAGCCAACTGATAATTAGATTGCTGGAGTTGAAAAAAAATGACAAGAAGGATGATGCAGGGGGAAAAGGAAGAGATCTAGATACAGAATCAACCTGTCAAAATTTTAGGTATGTGACCAGGCAAGGGGATATATCACCTAGGTTCATGGATAAGGATAAATCAGTAGGCAGAGGAAGGAAAAAACAGGTGAAAGTGGTTCCTAGCATTCTACCAGCTGGGGTCCAAACAAGGAGGACTTTATCTAAATCCATTAATTAGAGATGAATGCTCTAATATGGAACATTAGATAAGTAAATACAGAAGGAGCCTTTGAACGGCTCATCACAATGCATAGAAAATACCACTTTGAGTTCATTGGACTCATTGAACCAAAACAGCAGTCAAGGAAATTGGATGGATACAGAAGACAGATTGACTTTGAACAAGCAATTGTTAACACTTCTAACAAGATTTGGGCTTTCATTGATGGGAAATATGATGTAACAGTTGTGATTGATGCAGTACAATAACTTACTTTGAAGCTATATGATACAGAAGAGGAGAAAGAATTCATGGTCACTTTGGTTTATGCTAAGTGTGATCATATTGAAAGGATTGAGCTGTGGGACTCATTGTATTATCTGGCCAGTGACATGACTATTCCATGCATGGTAGGGGGAGATTTCAATGTCATTTTGGATGAGGAAGAGAAATTTGGAGGCCTGCCAGTGTCAATAAATGAAGTGGATAATTTCAGACATTGCATGAACACCTGTAACCTCACAAATATGGGGTTCAAAGGGAGCATATATACTTGGTGGAATGGTCGAGCTGAGGAAGATTGTATTTTCAAGAGATTAGACAGATTTTTTGCAAACATGGAGCTACAACAGATATGGCCAGGGCTGGAGATTACTCACCTATCCAAAATTGGATCTGATCATTGCCCCTTACTGATTTCATTTATTCCAGATACAGTACCTATCAAGAAGAGCTTCAGATTTCTCAAATTCTGGATTGAACATGAATCATTTAAGGATGTGGCTTAGGAGAATTGGCAAACAGATTTTCAAGCAAATCCTTTTATCATTTTCAATCACAAGCTTAAGAGATTGAAGAAGGCATTATCTACATGGAGCAGGACAACTTTTGGAGATATTTTTCAGAAAATAGCTAGCCTGGAGGAAGTTGTGGTAGTACATGAAGCACATTTTGAGCTTAATCCTACAATTCAAAATAGGGAAAGGCTACAAAAGGTGAAGGTAGAACTGTTTAAATATTTGGCTCTAGAGGAACAATTTTGGAAACAAAAATCTGGCATGACTTGGTTCAATTATGGAGATAGAAATACTAAACTCTTTCATGCTCATGTGAATGGAAAGAGGAAGAGACTGCAGCTAAAGAGAATTCAAAATAATGCTGGACAATGGGTGAAAGATACAGAAGGAATTGCAGATGAAGCAGTTAGATTTTTTCAAGCACAGTTTCATGAAGATGTAGTTCCTACAGATTCTCAGATCATTAATCGTGTCCCTCAAATGGTTAATGGGGAGCAAAACCAGGAACTATTGAAACAACCTACTAGGGAGGAGGTCAAACAGGCAGTATATGGATGAAATGGAGACATTGTGGTTGTCCAGATGTTTTTAATGGTAGTTTGTTTCAGTCATGTTGGGACATTGTTGGGGATGATGTGGTGGAGATGGTGAAGGCTTTTTTTCAATGGGCAGGAGCTACCTAGGTTTATTACTCATACAAACCTAGTCTTATTGCCAAAGATGAAGGAGGTACTCAATTTTTCTGATATGAGACCAATTAGCTTAAGTAATTTCATCAACAAGGTGTTTTCTAGAGTGATTCATGAAAGGCTAGGTTGTCTACTTCCTACACTAATTTATGATGAGCAAGCTGGATTTGTGAAGGACAGAAGCATAGTAGAAAATATATTGTTGACACAGAAAATCAATACTGATATTAGACTGAGAACTAAAGCAGGTCCTAATGTGGTAATCAAGCTAGACATGACTAAGGCATATGATCGATTGTCATGGTTATTTTTTACCAAAGTGCTGAGAAAAATGGGATTTGCAGAGAGATTTATAGGTTGGATGTTTGGGACAATATCTAATAATTGGTATTCAGTGTTGATAAATGGCCAGCCACATGGTTTTTTCAAATCTACTAGAGGGGTTAAGCAAGGTGATCCATTATCTCCTACGCTTTTCATTCTGGCAGCTGAGGCAATGTCAAGAGGGCTGAATTCTCTTCATTATAATATATATTTTGTGGATTTGGGTTGCCAAAATGGAGTCCTAAGATCAACCACTTGGCTTATGCTGATGACACCATAATATTCTCCTCCTCAAATGCAACTTCATTGCAGCTCATTATGCAAGTTTTGACAGCATATGAAGCAGCTTCAGGACAACTGATCAACAAAGCAAAATCAGCTATTTATGTGCATCATCTAACCGATGAAAACGTAGTGAGAAAGGTAGGAAGAGTTACTGGCATTGGCAGGCAAGATTTCCCATTTACATAGTTAGGATGTCCTATCTTTTACGCTAGAAGAAAAATGGATTACTATCAAGGGATGATAAAAAGAAGTGATGGACAAATTGCAATCTTGGAAGGGGAAGCTACTGTCGATTGGAGGAAGAGCAGTTTTGATTTCTCATGTAATACAAAGTATGCCTATTCATCTGTTATCAGCTGTAAATGCACCTGCCTCTGTGATCAACAAACTACATAAACTGATGGTAAGTTTCTTTTGGAGTAGTTCTATTGAAGGAGGACATAGGCATTGGGATTCATGGGATACTTTATGCTTGCCAATTGAAGAAGGTGGAGTAGGATTTAGATCACTTCATGATGTATCTAAAGCCTTATTCTGCAAGCTGTGGTGGAATTTTCGAACAAAGCCATCATTGTGGAGTTCATTCATGAGTCAAAAATACTGTAAGAAGTTGAATCCAATTGTAGTTCCTTGGAGAAAAGGATCCCATATCTGGAGAAAAATGTTGTAGTGTTGAGATGATATAGAGCATCAGATTCTGTGGCAGCCTAAGATGGGTTCTTCACTTTTTGGTTGGAAAATTGGACTGGACTGGGGGCATTATACTTTTTCACTCCACCTGATTTCTTTTGTGATGAATCCATTCAGAATGTTAATGAAGTAGTGCAGGGGGGAAGATGGAATGAACAGAGGATAATGCAATTATTACCTGATTTGGCTACTCACATTCTGCAGAACATCAAGCCACCTGGGGAAAATATGGTGTTAGATAGACCTTTCTGGATGTTAGAGACAAGGGGTGAATTTAGTGTGAGATCTGCGTGGGAGTATGTAAGGAGGAGAAAGGAACCATGCAATGCTTATAAAATGATATGGATCAAAGGTTTGCCATTTAAGGTTTCATTCTTCATGTGGAAGGTGTGGAAGAATAAACTGCCCTTAGATGATTTTTTCAGAAGATTGGGATATCTAATGGCCTCTAGATGTTAGTGTTGTGTGTTGCCTCAAGAGGAATCTTTGCCACACTTATTTTTCACTTCTTATGCTGCTAGAAAAGTGTGGCAGTATTTCCTTCCTGCTGCTGGTATTAAAGTTGAAGGTTTAATATTCCATCAAGCTATCGTGAAATGTTGGATTGCCAAGGTGATTCCTAGACCGCAACCAATCATTCAAGCACTACCATCGATTATAGTATGGGAGTTATGGAAAAGGAGGAACTCGTACAAATATGGAGATGCAGTTTCAATGAATAGGGTGATATATCAGGTATCTACTACTCTCCAATATCTGGTAAAATTCAGAAAACCTAGCTTATAGAATGTCCCACACAAATGGCCTGATCTGATTCATATGATGGAGCAATTTACACCGAAGTTGAAATACACTAAAGTGATGTGGGAATATCCTGACCAAGGCTGGGTGAAGGTCAATATAGATGGAGCTTCTAGGGGCAATCCTGGAAGGAGTTCGATTGGTTTTGTGCTGAGAAATGAGGAAGGGGATGTAGTGTATGCTTGTGGCAAGGAGATAGAAGAAGGCACAAACACTGAAACAGAGGTGCAAGCCATTCTGGAAGCATTGAGATACTGTGTTACACATGACTATATTCTCATCGACTTGCATACTGATTCAATGCTGGTCAAGAATGTTATCCTAGGGGATTGAAAGGCACCATGGTCTGTGGTGGTATATATGGAGGAGATTAAGGAATTGATGAATAGATGCAATCTGAAGGTATCTCATACATTAAGGGAGGTTAATCAATTGGCTGATCACATTGCCAATTATGCTCTATACATTGGTCCAATGGAATGTAATGGTTTTGGAGATTTAGACGTCCAAGGGATGAAAATAGTCAATAGTGATAAGCTGCAATGTCCATACCTAAGAGTGAAGGTTGCAAGGAATTAGACATGGAGGAGGAAAAGGAGACAAAGAAAAGGTTTAGGGCAGGGGTTAGATCAGCTGACCATCATACTCAAATCCTTTTGGAGGAGAGTATGGTGCAGTCCTTGTTTACTAACATAATTTTCTTTGTTGCAGGAAATGTTACTGTGTCTATGCCCTGCTCTTTGGTGGAATATCAGTTGGTGGTATTAGTGCTATGCACTCATTCCACTGGAAGGAAGCCAAGGGTAGGCACAAGCATAGGAACAAGAAGGAGAATTATGCTGCCCAGATTTTCAGAGCTTCAAAGACATTTTTGGCAAGCAATAACATCAAAAAATGAAATGGTTGCAATGAACAAACAAGTGGAGGTTAACACCTCATTAACACTAGCAATGTTGCAATTAATTTCAGACAAAAAAGAGCAACAACATATACATGTTCATGATAACAAAAAGGGCAGCTTCACAAATGCCCACAGCAGGTGCAAAGCTGTAGGGCAGGGGATCAATTCAAAGCATTCGATAAGGGTATATCCACATACAGGGAGTCAGGCAACTGATATGCAGCAGAGGTCTCACCAGCAATCGAAGAAGGACACAAGAACTGGTACAAAATGCAGACACAAAGAGAATGCAACATGGTTGACGCAACAGCACTTACTAGGAGTTGTGGGATCTACTTCCAGTTTTAAACAAAGGAAGCCATCAACTACATTTGAAAGGGGCACAAACAACACAAAAGAAGATGCCAATCGTATACTCACACTATGGTTACAACAACAGTACGTTGGACAAAATGCATATACACCACAGTACATTGAGCTGGGCAGTACTTTTAGCAATTGTACATAGCTGGATGGTGCAGGAACAAATTGACCACGGACAAACCAAGCAACTGGGATAAACAAATGGGAAAAATCACAAAGTGACGGGCCAACATGGAAAAGGAGAACAAAGGGGAGGAGAAAAAGGAGGAGAAGAAAGAAGAAGAGAAGAAGGTAGAGTAAAATAAAGAAGAAGAAAAGAAAGAAGATGAGGCTCCTCAATAGATTGTGCTCAAAGTTGATATGCATTGTGAAGCTTGTGCCAGAAAAGTTGCTAGATCCCTCAAAGGTTTCCAAGGTATTAATTTACCGGGATCTTTACATAAGTAGTCGGTCGTATTTACTATTTATTTTTTTAGTTAATATATGTAGATTATGCACTAATTATATACGCATATAGACATATTATACATGTATTATATATCCATTGCCTATTTTTAATTTAAGCATTGGATAAACGGTTATTCAGGTTAAAAAAAAATTCGGAGATAGGAATCCCTTGTTGAGCGCGTAGTAAATGTGCTTGTCTTCTAGCTAACCGCTGCTGTAAGAAATTGAAAAATTAAGTAAAGAAGTAACTGACGCCAATGGAATACTAGAATAGTTTTCAATTTGACATTCATCAGATTTCATAAATCTATTAGTTCAAATATGGGCTCATACTACTTATGAGGTACTCATCAGTCATCAAAAACAATTGGAAAAGTTCAAATATAGGCTCATACTTCTGACATTTTCAAATATTGTAGCTAATTAAAGACAACATGGGAACTTGAATGTAACTTCCAAAAAAAAAAGGATCGCTAGCAGCATAGCTGCAAAAGTAACACATTCGAACAATGTACAGTGAAGGAAGAAGATTAATGCATTAAATGGTTAAGGAATATGAGAATGCAAGTCAAGATAGAGCAAAAGTAAGGACAGAAAAAGATTGAAGAACTTTATCCAAAACAAGTGCTTTCTTTGCTTGTATGAGAGTTTTCAGTAACTTGGAAAACATAACAACAGAAAAAAGCCGCCAATGACTAGAAATACAAACAGGCTCCAGAACAAACATAGGAAAAATTCACAAAAAATCCCTAATTCAACTGAAAAAACCATAAGAAAACCCAAAAATAAGACCAGATTTCTCGATTAAGAACCAGAAAGTGCAATAAGCGCAAAAAAAAACTTATTACCTTAGTATTTGGGTCTTCAAATTATTTCTCCGATCTTCGTTTGTAACCTTTGCACAACAAGTTGACCTAAGCCCTTCAAAGGATACGAACCCTTTGCACAAAATCTTAGTTTCTCAGATTCATTCTGCACTTAATCAAACTAAACCTCAGAAAACTCTAAATTAAAAGAGGACTGGGGGTTTTCAGGGCATCGGAAAGAGGGATTGGGGT